CTCAAAAAATATTGACGAAAAATCAAATGTTCACATACTCACACACACAGATACTTTTTACAATAAAACGTCGAGAAAACATAAAAGTAGTAAATCGGATTTTCTGGCGAACACAACTTTCCATAGATTGGGAAAACTATCCTAACTAAGAGATTCAAAGGAACATTCGATACCAATGATAAAAATTGAGATTACAATTGAATAAATAAATGATCCAGTATCCAAATTTTAAATAAAGATCGCTGACATAAACATATTGGTAGGTCAGCAAGATTTAAGTTCTCAAATCTCCGGGCTAAATTAAAATAGATCGATTGCCTTTTATACCCGCACTGATTCTTCGGATTTTCGTATTGTACTGCATCAATCTTGCAAGAAAATGAAGTGAACGTATTTACTTGTTTTGTATTCAAACCGTATCCATGGTGTAATAAAACATTTGAATCTAGGTGGCCACTGTCCATTACATAAGTATGAAAGCGTTAGAACATCTTAACGACTTCGGGCAAATGATGGTATTAGAACACTCTGAAGATAAACCATTGCATAATAAAGTGGTGCTATGAAGTTTCTTATGTGTAAAATTAATACGAGACTGCATTATATCGACTCCTGACAATGGATCTTGAATGGAACCGTCACCGCATAATTTGTATCATCATTAATGCTTTGGCAAAAGAATGGCAAGTAAATATATGTATTATAAGCCATCGAGGAAAATTGAGTTCTAAGAGGCACTTCTGATTGATACACAAACATACACATGCACGCAAAAATATTGACTATAGTTGTAATAACTTTTAGCTATTATCTTGAAAAGTTATTGCGACTAGAGTCAATAATTAATCATCAAAGCCTGACAGTTTCGGTGTTGCATCACCAGGGCAATGATGTAGTTTACATTTTTGAGTTTTTAATTTAATGCAGTTAATGTTTTTTCTAAATCATTTATATCCAATTATAATTATCTAAAATAGTTTGCCAAAACGTATGGAAAATACCTATGTGCTGATATTGTTAAAATGGCATTATTTTATACGGTGCACCCACCGGTAAAAACCTTAAACTTACACCGGAATTAAACATATAAATATTAACTAAAATTTTCTTATTAGACTTATTTAAGTTCTTCGACAGTCCGTCATTGATATATGATGCAACTTATGAATATGGCTTTCAACTCTACTATTTGGCTATAAAATTTCAAATTCAAGATCACGTTAAGTCAATCAGTATTTCAGTATGTCACCGATATTTCCAAATATTATATATTGCTGCGTCAATTAAAACTTGCTTAATTTCATCCAAGAAACAAATAATAGGCACTAGGCTAAGAAAATTTTTAATTTGTGACAACTAATCACATATATCATAGTGTGATGTAAAGAAATTTTCTTAAACCTGTAAAGATGTAGGTCAAAATATTTCTTAACGTTATGTGGAATATACCTGGTGAATTCACAAAATTACAAAAGAAGATTGCTTCTATATAAGGTAGTGCAGTGACAGTTCTAAAGAATAAAAATAGAGCCTAATAATTACTGTAGTTAGATATATTTTGTAATAGATGTAATTAAATATATTGTTTGCAATATAGAGCTACAGAGATTCTGAAAATTAGTATTTTATTAGTTAATTAAAGAAATTGTAGTAAATAAAAATTTGTTTTTGTATTTACAATTAATAATTTATTAGATGTTAATTTACAAATAAATTCATTTATATAAAAGGGTTCGAGAAATTCAAATTCATGGTTTTATTTATGGAAATAATATATTTCCCTGTCTAAGGGTAATGTTTGAAAACAATTTACAACCACAATAATCAACACCGTTAATCTAAGAATATCATTATAAATTCAATTTATAGCCTTTTCATCGTATTTATTTGCGGCATATATCAATAAATAAGCACGTAATAACATATTTATATGGGAATACAAAACTTACACATTGTTGTGAAATATTTATGCGCATTCTTTACGACTGAGCAAGAAATATATTTACCGAAAGCTCCGAGAGTAAAAGCTCGCACCCATAAATTGATAACTAGCCTACTCAGTTTATTCGATTTAAAATTGCGTAATAAGTAAAATGATAATTCTAAAAGTTTGTTTCACAAATTTTTATATTTCGATATAATATTATGATAATAATTACGGTTAAACATATTTTTTCTTTGCAATTATTTGATCAATTTTTTAAAAACTTTAGTTATCGATTTTGTTAAAGTAGAGTTATATATGTATAAAATGTATTTTCATTGAATTAAAATAATTTTGAATGCTTTAAAATAGACAACATTAGAAAATTCTAAACAAATACTAGCTACCACACATTTCTTTGAGAATTAGGGCTGTTACAGTTTTAATTAATAAAATAAATTTTACAATCTTTTTTTTTCAAATCTACAATTTTCTTCAAACATTATTTAAATATACGATAAAAGAATCAATGAATTAATAATATAAACGCAATGGATAGTGAATGATTATTAAAATGAATGAATACTGAAGGCTGCTGATAGTTGAATTTTGTGTTATCTTTTTCAGAATTTATGAATCCAAATGTGAATTAGTTCAAAAGTTGATGTATTTTGTGATAAATCGTTTCATTACAAAAAAATATAATAATGAATATCTGTTTTAATAATAATAATATAAGATTAGATGCACCTACTGACTTTCACATGAATTTTCAAAAATAATTTAAATTGTCAAATATTGGTTTTGCTGCGAAATTACGATCGCATTATATATAATATTAGATGAGACCTACTGAATTTCAATTAAATTTTCAAAAATAATTTCAATTATCCAATATTAGTTTTGCTGTGAAATTACAATGACATTTAAGATGTGTTACATTTGTTACATATAGGTCAATCAGTCATAAATTATTAAAATTGCACAAGTGTTCTAACATAATTTAGAATAACTACTATCGTTCTTTTTGCTGAATTATCGCTATACCTTTTTCAGAAGTGTTGAGTTTTTTACTCATACTAATCGAAAGTAATGCAATATTTGCTCAATAAGACATATCTCGTAATTTAATTATAGAATACATTCATTTTACGGTTATGAGGTAAACTATTAGTTACATGCTGGATTAATTTGATTTATGACGTGTGCTCCTTACTTAATTGCTATACGATCTGGTTTACAATCAGAATCTTGGCGATTCCGGTAACGTCGTGAGAAATCTAATAACGCTAATTGTAAGTGTAGGTAATCCTTTCTCTTTTCAAATCTGAACATTAATGCTGTTCGTCTTCTTGTAATAATTATAACAATATTGCATATGATAATGCTGCTAGGAAATCCGTAACTAAATTTACCCAAAACTATACCAGTAGTTGATGAACATAATTTAGCGAAATGGACTTCAGCACTGATTTTAAAATCCACTGTCACATTTATGATCTCAACTCATCCGTCAAAAACTATTATTTATAATTTTGGAATAAATTTCACTTTTTTATGCTAAAACATAATTTACAATATATATATATATATATATATATATATATATATTACAAATAGTTCACTCGAAAATTTTGCAATCATCTGGATAAATCATATCATCATTTGCTCCCATATGATGTTATACAGGATATTACATAACAAAACTGGTTTATGAAAATTTTTAATATTTATTAAATACTATATTGCATTCGAAGATAATCGTTATTATCCAATCCAACTTAAAAAAACAACATATGAAAGAAGACGAGTCTTGATAATTTGATACTGGAGAATCATGTAACATACAACCGTTGGTAAATTATGGAAGGATGTAGGCTAACTACTGTAATACTGATTAGACTAGGTGAAAGCAACGTATGTGTTTTTTTATCTTATTATTATATAACAATCTTATCGTACGGTATCGAATGGTATTATATGTTCTTGCATCGTGATGCACGCGCGGTAAGTAGAAAAAAAATTGATCATATGTGAGCTTTGGGCGAAATCAAGTTTAAAGTGGTAATATTAGTAATCATAAGGTTTAAATTCAAATTTCATGGCATAACAATAACAAATAAAATAGAATTATTTTATAAAATTAGAAATTCAGCACTGTGATGATAAAATAACGCCCCATAATTAAAAACACGAATATTAAATTTTCATTTATTTATCTGTCTTAGGAAATTATCTTATATATATATATATATATATATATATATATATATATATATAATTTCGTAGGTAGATAATAAATAAAGGATAATTAAATACTTCTGATTAATTGTGGAACGTTAGATTTTTTCAAGTATTGTACTATATTCCTAATTTTATAAAACAATACTTTCTTATATATATATATATATATATATATATATATATATATCCATCTCCAAAAATTCTATGACATTAAGTTGTTTTGATAACAATGTTTGAATTCAAGATTTCACTATATGTATAATTTGGTACTTTAAATATCAAAAAAATATTTATTTGATGGTACAAACTTTCGAATTGATCTATGCGGATATAAGAGAGCCGATGTATAAATGCAAAAAATAATTAAATTACGACCAGATAAAAATGTGATTATATATGATATAATAAAAGTAAAAGTTGATAAGTAAAAGCTTTCGTTCAAAGGCCAAAGCATGGATGTTGTCAAGAATCTTGTTTTCTTCTTGTACCAAGTACGAATTTTAATCGCGCGCATCTTCTGTGATTAAAATTTAATTAACAATATTTTCCAGATGGTGATTATTTTTCTGCATGCTCTTTAAAAGCTGTCATTATATTTGACAGGATATCCCCAATAAATAAAAACACAGTTATAATTTTTTTACGGTGACAAATGTATTTTTTACAAAAATTAACCTACATACAAAAAGCTTTATACAAATATTTAAACAATTCATTTGCACATTACACCAATTGCAAGGCTGCCCTCGGTCGTTCGATGTCCGAGGTAGCTTGTTTGCGAGTGATGTAGTGCACAAATACCCGTGTACTGATTGATTAATCCGTTCGTCGTTAGAGATGTCAGGTCAACGAAAATAGCGTGTTAACAATGTTTAAGGTCCCCTTTATGTTGGGAAAGGAGACCTGTATCGTGATCCTCCATCCGAGCAGCTGCCGTCCTTTGCGGTGGGCGTTCGTGGCTGTCGATTCGTTTGTCACTGTAGATTTTGGGCCGATGTTATATTGCAACTAATGTCGGATAGGCGATCACGATACGATGAGCAGACGGTACAATAGCGCGCGGTTCGAAGGCGTCTAGAATGGAGCGCCGTAGCTTCCGCTCGGCCTGGAAGGTGCCGAGTAGGAGCTGGATGGACCGCTTGGGTAACCTCCGTGTCCGCCGCCGCCGGATGATTGTTGGTTGTATTGAGCGACTTGGACGGCTTGTCGCACTCCGGCGAAGTCGATTCCTACGACGCGACCGCCGCCTCCGTGTGGGACTCCGTAGCTTGATGATGGGGGTCCGTAGGATGAGCTGACGCCACCTCCGTGACCGCCTCCGAAACCACCTCCGAAACCACCGCCTCCAGATTGGCTTTCTTCACGTAACAATATCTGTTTGATCTGTTCCAAAAGCAGAGGGTCTACTTGTTGTCCTTCGGAGGTTTGGTATCCAGAGCTGACGGCGTGGTATGGGCCACCGCCGATAAGGCCGCCGCCGCTGCCACCGAAACCACCACCGAATCCACCGCTGAATCCGCCGCTGAAGCCACCGCCGCCTGATGGCCTGTTGTATGAGTATCCGGATGGTGGTTCAGCTACAGCCATCGCCGCCAGGGCGAACAGCATGCACTGTGAAGCAAGTAAAACACGTCAGTAACACTTTTATGAACACATAATAGACCAGAAACGATTCAATAAATTAATTCGAGATGAAATCGCGAAAGTAGAAAGTAATATATTTCGAATTAAAACTAATTACTCGTAAAATTAATACACGTTTGGAAAACACTAAAATTTAATCCCGAATATTTATAAAAACACCGTTTTAAAAATAATCCAAGAGTTTAAAAGTTTCTTCAGGTAATCCATCTGATGTTTGCACTTTATTTTGTATTGTATTAGTACTCACCACGGAAAATGTATTCATGACGCTTTTGATGTTTTCCAATGGATGCAGAAAGTCGAATGTGTACCGACTCTCAGAAGACACCTTCCTTATATACTAGACTCATCTTCTTTAAGAGCCAGCGAAGGGGCCTGGTGGGAGGCTTCAGAGCACCGCGGACAATCATCATGAAAAACGAAGCCCGGATTCACACACATTGTATGCCGTATGTGTCGGTGTTATAAAATATAGAATATCTTAAAATTGTATATACGAAGATGAGGAATAGAGAATGTTTGACCGGCACTAGAATCTTCATAGCATAACAGAATAATTGCATAAACACCAGCACAATATTGATATCAGTTTTATTAATTTTGAATTCAAGAGCTGCATCACAAACTGCTAATTGCAACAACACACTTGTATATTTACCATTGAGAGATACAATTATTAATATTTTGCAAACACCGATAACAAATTTTTACACGCCGAATAAAATATAATTGGGGCAGTTAAAACTACATAAAACAATAATTATATCGGTTGACATTTACTTTTGTATGTATATTTAATTGATAAAGCTTAAATTAGACGTAGATTGCTTTATCAGTTATATGTATTATATTTCTAAAAATTTTTGCTAAAATAAATATACTTTAAGACGTAATTCCAAAATTTATAAATAAAAACAATAAAATTAATCACAATATATAGCAACTTAGTGAAACATAGTTCCAAAGAAATTTCTTATAGCAAGATTTTTTATCATAGATGAATCAATTACATAAAAAAGCAGCGGAACTATTACTTTTCATACAGTTAATTACAAAGAAGAATTAATAATAAACAATCATAATTAAAATGGAAAATTTTAATTGTAGATAATTCATAAATAAATTTGTGTAATAGTAAATTCAATATTGCCTTCATAAACACAAATTATATTCAATTAGAGTGGATCTTTTATATAATGTATAAAAATAATTTAGATTGCTGTAATCAAAGGAATTGAAATTTCATTGAATACTATCAATGAATACGTAACTGTAGACTTTAGATACAGTGGTTCTCAATAAATTTTATATTTTTATTTATATTTATTTAGAGCAATACTGCATGTATTTATTAAAAAGTCAAATTTCCCCAAATAGTTAAAAATTGTTTCTTTTACTTCAACTACTAGTACCCATTTTGAAATTATTTACACTTTTATGATTCCAATTAATTCGTATGTACAATAAACCGAAGACAACATCAATAAAATTTTATTCATTTAAAACACTCGAATTTTCTTTTCATTAGAAATCTCATAGTTCGTTCACATGACCACGTGAGAGATATTGCCAGAATTCATTTCTGATGGAAAAAAATATAAATATTTGGAGTATTATTAATACAGAAAGTAACAATAATTAATAATTGCTTTCATCATAATAAATGAAATAGAGATTAAATGAATAATATATTTCAGAAATAAAGAAATTGTTTGGGTATGGATTTTTGATAAATTAATTTGTTGAAACATTCAAACTATGTAAAGTTTATATAAAAATTCTATGTAGAGTACGATTTATTCTAGAGAACTTAAAATTCATGCTAGAGATAACTACGCACAAATTTGAAAAATTTAGAGTTTCGATATTGATGTCAACAATATTAATACTCCATCTATTATAATCAGGAAAAGTGCAACGAACTAAAATGTACAATTAAGTAGTCAGAAATTAACCATTATACTATAACCGTTCAATTTGCAGCATTTATATTATTTCAAAACCAAAACACTAAGATAATTCAATTAAAGTGCGGCGTTTTCTAAATTATCATTGATGGATGCATGTCATGTATTTATTTCGAAGGTCACTTTCAAATGTGCCGCAATTGTAACTAACGTTTAAATCCCATAACATCATCGCAATCTAAATTGCACTAAAAAGAAACAAGGCTAAATGTAACAACGAAAGATTTATTATTTTATATGCGTGATCTAAGACTTTACACCTTGATCCAGTCTTATTTTTTGAGTAAATCTAGTCCTTGATATAATTCTGTATCAAAATAAATAATTGCGAATGTTAGAATTTTATATATTTTTGTCTGCACCAAGTTTTGCAAAATAAGAAATCATTATTTTTATATATGTATATGGCATATTTCTCTGAAGAAGAATGGAAACTATGACGCAGCCTTGCAAAGACAAATCAGATAGATTGTTTGGTGCATTTTACCACAGTACAATTTTGTATTTAGCTACGTAATTCTTCATACAATTAAGCTTTTAATCAAAAAATAAATTATATATTTAGAATTTTAGTAGGCTCAATATCATAAAATTATTTAATGCAGGAATTGGCTGTTTTTTGTGAAAATGCATTGTCACATAGAATGTTCTACATTCTACATGATGTTACTAAATCAAAGTTATTAGTAGTATGATAGTGTCTAAACATTTATACAGAATCATCAACTAAATAGTAAGAAAGAAAGAGGTCTTGATATAGCCAATATTAATCTTTTAAAATCTACAAATCGAACCATTATCATGCGTCAAGACAATGCAAGTAATTCGTGTATTGGAATGCATTAAATCGTAATGCGGAAATGATTCAAAGTGAATCTCTTCCATCTTATATAATATGCACTCACTGATATAACAGAATAAAATTGAATAAAAAAAACATCTTAAATTAAAATGTTGTAATATCACATATCGAACAATATATTAAGTAATACACATTTGTAATAATGTGATAGGTAAATTAAATACAAGTGATGGCGATCGCCAAAAAAACAACATTACTTAGAATAACATCTCTAGAATTATTGTGAAATTCGGCTTTATGAAGGTCACAATCCGTCGGAGAGAAGAGAAGATGTTATTATCAAAAGTAAAACTCTCACTCTCAATTCATGCGTTCCCAAACCAGAGCGCTGGAGGAAAAGTTTCGAAAAGTTGGGTCAAACCTGATTTATATTAATTAAATACAATTGAATAGATTCTAGAAACAGAACATGATTGCTTTCAGATCAGATAACGTATAGGCAATTTGCAGATTTGAAATTTCATTGAAACTATTAAGAAAAATTTAACTCAACTATGATTAATAAAAAGTAATTGATAGACTTCAATTCTTTTATCTCTAAGGTTTTTAATTTTTCAAAATTTTATTCTTATGAGTTGATAAAATAAAATGCAACCATAAATATATAACAGTTAACCTCACATCAATCATTGCATCACAATGAGCAGTTGAGAGAATTAATTTAATTTCGCCATAAATAATTGCACATAAAATGCAATCAGCTGTATAATTGCATTTGCATCAAATCTGTCACATGAATACAATGCACCATAAAGATTTAAACAACTAATTAATATGACAAATGTAAAATTTGGAAAGGATGATTAGGACATATGCCCACAACCGCAAGTGACACAAATCCATGTGACCAAATTTGCCAAGGATCGTAAAACTGCTTCGTAAAATATAAAGAAGCTTTACATTTCAATCTTTCAACAATAATAAAATTATTATGATTTTTTTGTCAAAAATAGAGAACGTATATAGTATGCTAGCAATTATATTTGTCGACATTCATTAGTCAGTTTTCGAATATAAGCAATTAACTCTCTGAAAATGTTTAGGAAAACTGGTATAATTGGTGTATTTTCTGCATCAAATATAAAACTAACGTAATAGTTATATATTTATTGTTTGAAACCGATTCTTGTATGAACCCTTGGTTATCATACGAAATTTATTTAGAATTTAGGATCGATTTTATCACCTTGTTTATTATTTTACCATATTTCCAAAGTTTATAAAAATATGAAATTTGAGCAGATTATTTATAGTTTTGGAAAATTTCTCCAAAATTATGTTTTCTACTTTATTTTCAAGCTCTTTTATATCAAATCAGATGGCCATTTTCTTTTTAACCTTCTCATCGGTACTTGCATATAATGATTTTATCAGTGACCTGATAGAAACACAATTGAATAAAATTATGTTGCTTATCTACTAGCATGTCAAGACATTTTTCGTCCCTTCTGATTCTTACAAAAAAAACTTCTCTACAACTGTTGGCTAGGCAAATAATAGATTTCGCAAAAGCATAATCTAAAGAACAATAAACGACCATAATTGCTCTATCAAACAGATCATGAATATCTCGGCCAAATGTCGGAGATATCGCAAGGTCGACAGTTGATGAGTTACATTATGCAAACATTACAAACTTATTACTAAATCATCGAGATCACTTGTTTGAGCTTGAGACAATAAACGATCCCATCTCGTGAAATTATACCTACTACTTAAATTGGTATAACACTGACTATTTTTATCGTTGCATTGATTCCCAAAGATCGGCCGTGAAAATAAAATTTTTAATCAAATATTCACTTTATTGATATAATTGAGCTGTTTAGTGACAACACCCAACTTGGGAACAAAATAAAAATAATAGCGAAAAACATTTTTTTAATTTTTTTAAGGATCGTTAACTAGGAATTCACCGAAATTACTTCAATTAAAAAAATTCAAACTAATATTGTATTTCATGATAGGCAATGATTACTGTCTAATATAAAATTTAAATATAAATTTATATGTGTATAGAAATTTAGGGTCTCGAAATTCGTAGAAAATAATTTTGGAATGAATGAATTGATAGTTTGATTGCCATTTAAATTTAATTGAATTGAAGTCTATATAGACTCAACTTAATTATGCATTTTTTTAAACTAAATGTTCAAAATAAATATTTTTAGATGCTAAAACTGTTGTGATATATCTTATTGCACAAATGTTTTAATCGCTGTAAGAATAAGTTAAGTAACAATTATAGAAATGTTAATCACAATTAAACATGCGTGTCTTTTTGTTCATCGGACAGTCACATGAATACTGATTAAGTTAGGCATCTTTAATCATATTATACAAACGCAAATTAAGTGTTTTGTAATTTATTGTATCTCTTACTGCGCAAGATTTTATCATAATTTCAAAATAATCTACTTGGAATGACCAATAACT